TATTATGTTATTAAATAAAAACAAAAATGAGAGGGAAAGATTTTACTATAATATGTAGACTGCAAGCTTCACTTACATTTAAAAAATTACATTTAATGAAGCCCAAACTAGATCATTATCCAAAAGGGACATTATGCTCATCTTGTCCATGGGTGCCAAATAGAATTAACTGTACAAGCTACTTATAATTACTGTGCCTTTGCAGTTGTGATGGTCTACAAGTATTTCTGGGCAAGATAAGCAGGGAGATATTAGATCAGTTGATAAACCAGGGGGGTGAGGAGACCAGCCTGCAGGCACAAATGTAACTTTACCTGTTTTTCAATTACCCAGTATAATACAAGATTCACCTCTCTAAAGAACCCTGCTAACAAATTTTACCTTGGCCTAAAGGTTTCCATAAACTAGGCCTCCTCAACTTCTTTGTTGAAGGTCTTTCCACAAGATATACTGCTCTATTTATGAATACCTTTTCTACACAGGTAGAAATTCATACGCTCATCAACAGCACTTTGAATTAACAGAAGGAAGGCAAAAGAAGAGAGTATTTCCTTTTTTATGCATACAATGAAAACCTAATTGTATACAACCCTATCAAATGCTCAGGCAGCAAGCTTCCTTTGTTCATTTATCTAGCATTTTAAATGGAAGATCCAGGGATCACAAGTGTAATTTTATGATACTGTGATCGACATCAGAATTGTCATACCAGGCAGAAGAAGAAACACTGAACACATTTCTGAAAAATGTGATTATTTCATTAGCCACTTTTGCACAATGGGACCTCTTTAAGTTTTTCTGTCCTCTCAATTTTAGTAGTTATTATTTTAGAGACAGTTTTTTCGTATTTATTTATCAGACTTCAAACTGAATTAATCAAACTTACTTACTTATAGGGACTAATACTTTACTCTTTGGAGTATTGTTCTACAAGCTCTCTCTGGGAAGTAAAATACTATCCATGGTATGCGATGATACAAATACTTAGTTTCTTCTTTTAAGTACAGAGAGAACTGTGTAATTTCAGGATAAAGAAAATCACAGGTAAACTGAAGTTTTGTCTTTAAATTTCTTCTTGTAGCATGTGGGCTTCACTTGCTCATTCATGCAGCTGTCAGTTATTTTTAAAGCATGATTTCAATAAAAGGAGAAAAATCATAGATCTCTTCAAGATAAAATTAAAAGTTACCTTTGGCACAGCTCAGCTCATCACTTTTGTCAATAAGAAGATATCTGGGACTTTCAGGAAACCATGGCAGGAATAAAAGTTGGGCAAATGCTGGGAAACAACTGCTGGATAGCAACAGAGGCCAGTATGATTCTCCACCTAGTAATTCCCTGGGAGAGGTGTGGAAAAGGGCAGGAAAAAATCCAAGTAATTAGCTGTTGATGACTATTCAGACAACTTTTGGGAGCAAGATCTTTGTCTTTCAGGACAAGTTCCCTTGTAAGCAGTTACCAGTGTCTGTGAACCTCACTGGAAAGAGGTTGGGAAAATATTTTCCAGCCACTGTGAAATCAGGTTTCAGTCAGGAAGAGATGAGCCACACTTTTCTAATGCTGCAGTGGCCACAATTAGTGTTTTGCAGGTAAATTGACTTTTTACATGCAAGAAACGCAAGACAAGAAAAATAAAGCATTTCTAACCTCAAACCAATGATTTGTCCCATCAGAATCCCTCCAGTCAGAAAGATGGAGGTCCCCATGGCCATGGCACCTCTAAGATGTTTTGGGGCAACCTCCCCAATATACAGAGGCTGCACACAGAGGCCAATACCTGAAAATAAGTGGAAAAATGTTTTCCTATTAATAAATTTTGCTTTTAAAAAGAATTACTGAGACAGATCATGTAGGAAGTCAGACTTAGTTTATTTCTCTACTAATTTAGCTGCCTTCAGATGCCAAGTTAGTCTACAGAAAATTTTTGTCATCCCATCTACAAAGCAGTATACAAACATATCTATCATAATACCTAAAGAATCAGCAGTAACAATCATTTATCATTGATAGTTTATTGAAAGTAGGAGTAGAAATCCATTCACCTGAATTTATGCCAATCAAAAACCTTCCAACAATCAGTAGCTCAAACAATCCAGTAGGAAAACTGATCCCCATTAAAATGGAGGCCAGTATTGCTATAATATTATTCATCAAAAGAGCTCCTTTCCTAAATAGAAGGGGAAAAAAAAATAAGGAAATCAGCAATAACATGTTTAATTTTTTTCCTTTCTGGTTTAATGAAAAAAATTGCCATTATACTGAAAAAAACATGCTAATAACTGGAAATCCAGATATTGGACAATTACTGATCATATTTACAAAAAAGTCTAAGCATAAAGATGATGCATAAACACAACAGAAATGCCTAACAAGGCAGGAGTGGGGGTTTGTTCATTTATGCTCTATCTATACAGAACACACATGCAATTTTACAGATTCCCCTGCATGTCCTGACAGGCAGGAAAGCTGTAAATATGTTTAGGGGACCTGTGTCTTCTGCCAGACACTATGGGTACAGCTCCTAACATTTCAATGACAGTAATGGAAAGACCAGACTGGAAGATTCAGGGCTCATCTTTTCAAGTCATGTTGGAACAAACTATAGAATTATACTAGAAAACTCTGCTTAAGTGAAAAACATTTATAGTCACCTAAGGTACATTTTCTCCCACTTTTTCCATTTATTTACTTTAGATTCTAGCGAGAAAGGAAGAAAGGAAAACATGCTGGTATTTACCTGCTGATGTAACTCACCTGCCTAGCCGAATGGCCATACTGCCTCCAATAAGGGCTCCAAACAGACCTCCAAGTGAAAATATAGAAGCAATGACAGACCAAAGAAAAGTCAGCAAATCTGGATTTAGTTCTTTGTGATAACGACTACTCCAGGTTTCATTTAAGAACTTGTGTATATGCTGCAGTACAAAATAATTATGATTATGTAGCATTATCTGTAGCCCTACAGCATAGCATTATAAATAACTTGCACCTCAATCCTGAAAACCAATTCTAGGAGCTAACAAAAGATAACATCTTAACTGTGTTGTATTAAAAACACCCATGACTAGCAGAATCTTCCTTGACCACAACACCACTTCCTACTCCCCATACATCTCAAAGACAGCTGAGCAGCTTTGTTGTCATGCCCTGCTTCAGGAGAACCTGTATTCCACTAGGAGAGACAAACTTTCCCATATGCTGCCATGAAAGGTCTTTGAGGACCTTATGAATGAAGGGGGGGGCAGGGGAGAATGGGTAGGTCCTCCTGTTTTTTAGGAACATCTCAGAACACAGAGGTCTCACATAACCTAGCAAACATACTGTCATGAGACTCATTCTGACCCTTAAAGCTGCCTGCCTTAGTGTAATCCAACAATTCCTAATAACATTCCTTTCTGCAACTTTAATATTCTTCCACCTTTCTTACAGTATTTGTGCATCACAACTTTTAAACTGTTATTCCACATGCCTGGTTTCCTAAGATTTGTCTTTAGAAACTCCTGAACAGACATGTCTGTAATCAGAGGCTGCAGTTCTTAGCCAGCAAATGAAGACTTAACAGCAGAGCAAACTTCCTGGACTCTCCCTCTTTCCAGCATATGACAAGTTCTTTCACAAGCAGCTTATTTTAACCATAATAAAAAGCACTCAATGTTGTAGCAAATTCAGTCTTCACAGTTTCATAAGAAAATAAATCAGCTGACAGGAGAAAATTAAACCTGTCACTTTCACAAGACCATTTGTGCAGACATTCTTGAGTCATCCACAAAACGTGGAATCTTCAAGGCCACAGCAACAGACAGAAAAGTAGCAAGTGGGTGAAAATGCCTACAAGATACTCAGATACTACAGATGCAGCTTTTTGGGTCTCTTCCTCAGCAAGCTGCCTTGTAAAAGACAACTGCAGCTCTCCTTTCTCCCCGTTATCCAGCGATAGGATGCACAGAAATGGTTCAAAGCTGCATCCAGGCAGGTTTAAACTTGACATTAGGAGAAATAATGGTGACATCTTACAGAGAGGGTAGTCAAACCCTGGAACAGCCTTCCTGGAGAGGCGATCGATGCCTCCTCAAACCTGTCAGCGTTTAAGAGGCATTTGGACACTGCCCTGATTAACACGCTTTAAGTTTTATCAGCTCTGAAATGGTCAGGCAGTTGGACTAGACAATTGGTGTACATCCCTTCCAACTGAAAATGTGCTATTCTGTAAGTTCTGGGCTATTTTAGTCAAAAGTATAACTGGCAGATATCACTTATTCATTCAGTTAATCCTTCTAAAACAGATTTTAACAGAGGTAATTATGTGGCATACTTGATACTTCTGCCTGACACAGAATACCTCTGATTGGCAGCTACTCACAAACCAACCCACATGAAACCATTTCAGAAACCAACAAGAATCCTTCATTCCAAGGACACCTGCCTCAGCTCCTGCTGCAGCCACAGTACAAGTGCACTTGGCCTCTTAGCCAGTCAACAGGACACCTCCATTACTGTAAAACAACCCTGTGAACAAGAGACAACATTTTACCTGCGTGGGTGCATTGATAATGGAAACATTATACCCATACTGAAAGGTCCCTCCAATTCCGACAGCACAAACAGCCAGAAACAAGGTCCAGCTGGGGAGCTAGAGAGCAAAAGAGAGTAACGGGCATGAAATGAGCCACATGAGCTTAGAACCCACACACAGGTAATAGCCAGGAGAACACCCCAGTGAAGTACATCAAGTATTTGCTTTCAAACAGTGAAAATATTTGTTTAGAAAACTACATAAACACTGAAACACCTGCAGCAGGAGAAACATTACACACGTGGCCATGATCAGGAATGTCTGTCAGAGATGCAGCAGTTAAGATACCAGACTAGATGTAGACACATCAGTGGCCCTGCTGGCAGCTTAGTTACTGACCCACAGGAGTCAGTTTTGCATGAACCATGCTGCTCAGTGTCTGCTTTTTATGAAAGAATGTTAGGACTGTTTGGTGTTAAGTGGCATAATGACTCAGTATAAGAATTAACCAAATTCATTTCATCTGAGATCAGAGAAATATTTTATTTCCCTCAGCAAGTCCCTAAGTCGATTACCAGAGGTTTGCAAGTCACCAGGAGCTAAACCTTAGTATCTCAAATCACAACATATTGTTCACTGATAGTAAAGTTTATTAGCATGTATTTATTTTTTTAATATGGTCTACCTAGTTACATTCCTAAATCAATATTTAGCAACTACAATTAATAGACTCTCAGACTCCTAGGTTTTAAGGCCAATAGAAACCACTATTAAGATAGTCTACTTTCAAGAGAGTCTAATTGGTCATAAAATATACTTTGAATGAGGTCTCTGGGTCAGAGGAGAATTCTGGAGGTTTATACAGTATCTGGCTTTCTGCTCTGATACTTCCTGATTCTACTTTTTATTTAATATGACAGTTCTAAAAATAACATCCAGTTCAAAGGTTTAGCAACATTTTCATTAAAAATTAGGTCCTAATTTCATCTCACAGTAACTTTGTTTAAATTCAGCAG